GCTCTTGTTCGCTCTGTTCCAACCAGGCACCAAGACCTCCGTGTTCTTGGAGGAACTTTGTGAACTCATCCTTCAGAGATTCAGACTTCCTCAGACGGTCCTGGGAGAAACAATGACAGTTGAGTTAACTACGACTCTCTTACATGACCTCCTGTAGACTCGACACACACACACACACACACTGAGTTTAGTACCTGGCAGCTCTGCAGACTGTCCTGGTGCTGGGCCTGCAGCTGGTCCAGGGCAGCTCGGAGACGCTGCTTCTCCTCAGGGGGAACAGTGGAGTCGGGTTGTTCCAAAAGGGACCGGGTCGCCTGGGTGATCTGAAGAAGCTGTGCCTGTTGAGACTGAAGCTGCTGAAGCTCCGCCTGGTGGAGAGGTCAAAGGTGACTGGTCACAAACTGGTATTGACGTAAGATGCTGAAAATACACAAAGAGAAGAAATCCTGACCTGCAGCATCTCAGTGTGGGACAAGACGGCGCCCTCTGGTTGTGAGAGCGGTGCATCGACGACATTCTGAGCCATCACAGATCCAGCCCCTCGTCGTCCTGGTTGGTTCAGTGACGACAAGTCTTTCAGCAGAGAGTCGATCTGACCCTTTGTCTCTTGGAGTTCTTCCTCCGCCTTCGCCTGAAGTAGGGGAGGAAAACAAATAAACCCCTTGAGGAAGATGTAATAAACCATATGTGCATCTAGAACCAATCTGTTCTTCTTCCTACCCGCTGTGTGTTCTGCTGTACGGTGTTGTTGATGGCCGTGTCCAGCTCGGACACTGACGCGTTCGCTGTATCTGTCAGGGCGCTGTACTGCTCTTTCATTGTCGTCAGCGCCCTCTGGAGGTTCTGCCTCTCCTCTGGATTCAGACTGTCTCCACGTTCTGACAGGAACTCCTCCACTGAGCGGATGGCCTCAGCGATGCCCTCACCTTTAGTCTGGAGATCCTTCTGCACTTCCTGTGGAGACGAAAACAGGGCGGACTTCAAACGTCATTTCTCAGAACTGACTTTTAATTAATGGCTTTTAGTGATTACTTAAGTGTTTATCCTTTATTTTGCCGTCACTTCAAACTGTTTTTAAATTAAATTATTGAATTATTTTATTTGTTTTCTCATTTAAAATTATATTTGTTTTTTGATATTTAGCTTTGATGGCTATATAAATAAAGTTGTATTAATATAATAATCATCATTGTTATTATTCGTAGTAGCGGTACTGATTTTGTCTTAACGCATGTTGACATCACGGATAAAAAAAGGCTTGAGCTGAATAAATGAGTTCAAACAGAAGTTAACCTCTAAATAAATCAAATAAGTTAAAAAGCCAATGTTAGATTATTTAAACAATCATAAAGAACTGGATATAAATGTACATGAGAACACGCAGATTCATTCATTCATCCATGTGTTTCTGTTCAGTTTGTGTGGCCTTTATACTGAAATGAATAAATCATACCTTTAGCTTTTTCTGCTTCTCTTGCAGGACGTCCACGTCACCTGACTCCGCTCCAGCGTTCTGACTGGCCAGCAAACTGGCAGCTCCAGCCAACCACATGCTGAGGCCTTCGAGTTTCTGGGAGCATTCGGCTTTCTGCTGCTGGACCACCTGAGAGGAGCGGAGACGGAAATGTGACGGAGGAAACAAGACGCTGATGAAAAATCCACCATGAACAACCGAGCAGAGTTTTGAGCAAACAACCAGTTTTTGTATGTTTTAGAATAAGAGCAAACTAAATGTACATTTTCCCTGAATACAACTCTTGTGCAGTGCACACTTTGCCAAGCTTTGAGCAGATTGTGTCCAGAGTTCACACTTAACACACACACACACAGGCAGACACACAGAGACTCACACACTGTATAATATCTTCACATGTTGGTCAAGCAACAAAAAACAATACAGAGAGAAATCAAACAGATATATTTTTATTTGCTGTTTTTCCTCCTTCCTCTGTTTTCAGCTGAGACAAGAGGAAAAACAGTCAAGCTCTGTAAGCGATCAGATCTCTAAGCCGTTACCGCCGTGACACAAGCGATTTCCCTCAGTGGCAATCTGGAACAGCAAGGCAAACAGGTTAATGATACACACGTTGTAGAGACATGCAGAGGAGCAAACACGCTTGCATTAGAAGTCTGTGATGAAGAGTGACGGGGGTGATTCTGTCCATGTTGTGGCAAAGCAGCAGTGTGGGTTTCTACCAAAGTCTGAAATGATGATGAGGATTAAGTTGATGTGAAATGGGACTAAAGGTTAAACTGTGATGGAGGTTAACTAGTTTACTTCAGGCTTCTCTGGTCACGTTAGGGATGATCTGAAGAGTGATTCTTAAAACAGTAGATCTTGAGTAACAAAGCAAAGCACAAGTCAACAGCATCACAAAAAGCTGTGAGATACACGTCATGAGCAGCATTCAACTGCACTGGTGAGAAACAGCCGAGCATTTCAAACCGGTTCCACTCAATCGTCTTTTTCCAAACCTCTCTCTCCCTTGCACTCTGCCTCTCTCTGTCCTTCTCTTCTTCTTTCACTCTCTTCCTGCGCTGCCACTCCTCCTCCCTCTCTCTCTGGGCGGAGAGAGCATCGGCCCAGGCCTGAGCTTGGCCCGACGCTCTGTGGAAGCTCCTCTGGAGCTCCTGCAGCTGCCCCAGCAGCTGCCTGCTCTGCTCAGGGGCCAGGTCCTGAGCCCGCTCTGAGATGAACACCTGGATCTCAAAGGCAACGTTGTTGACCTCATTGGAGCGAGCCATCAGAGAGGACTGGAGCTCCTTGATGAGGAGGAACAACAGGGGAATGAGTGTTATTAAAGATATAAAGATTACAGGCTAAAGAGATGAACACACACTGAGGCAAGAACAACTTTGATTTCATCTTAAGGGTATAAAAATCTATTGTATCCTGATACCATTTTATAAATATCTTCTAAACACTTTAGATTAAATACTATAAAGTTCTCTTCAGACAGACTTGCCTTGCAAAGATTCAGCTGCTGTGTGAGCTGATCACAATTGTCCTCCTTCTCTGATTTCTCCATTTTTTCCATTCCTGCAATTCCTCCATCCATCTCAGCCTCCGTCTCCTTCAACCAGGAGAGCAGACTCTCCACCTTTCCTCCGAGTGACATCTTCTCAGCCGTCACTGCCTCCTGAGAGAAACATCGGTGTGATCACACACTTCAGTCGAGTGTCACGAACACAAAAAATCCACACAGAGGCAACAAAGTTCTTACTGCTCAGATGTAAGACAACCACAAACAAAACCTCCAGAGCGTCTCTGCTTCTTTTACCTTGTATGAGTCTCTGTGGTCTCGCAGGCTTTTCAGAATGCCGTCAGAGAGCGACCTAGCAGCCTCATACCCTCGAGCCAGGCTGCGTCCGTCCTTCTCCAGAGCCAAGACGAGCTGCGGAGGAACATCTTGAGGTCGGGGCTTCAGCAGTAGCTCGGCTGCTTCCACTTCCTTGGTGACCTCAGTCTCCAAGTCGCGCAGTTCAAGGTCCAGAGTCTTTGAGACAGATTAGGAAAAGAAAACAAAAGTTTTCTTGATACTGCTTAGTTAAGAGACTAATCCTTAAATCAGCTTTATTGGAAACTAAAAAGAAAAACAGGCTCTGTAAGATAAATAAACATATTGTTCTACCTCTGTCTGCCTGATGATGTCATCCAGAGCGATGAGGCTGCGACCAACAGACTGCTGTTGCTGCTGTTTGAGTCGGACTTCGATATGTCGCACCATGGAGACCAAGGCTACGATTCTCTGGTCGTGCTCCAAACATTCCTGACGCCTTAATGATGACTGAGGGAGAAACACGCACTCATTTCAAAATGTTTTTATATATGTAGCTGAAGACACGTAAACCTATGTGAGACAGAATCCTTCCAAAATGCTTATTTTTTCTAACCTTGCCAGTGACGGACGTCCCCTCTTTGTCTGGCTCAGTTTCCCGTCTCTCTCCGACCTCCTCCTCCTCCTTCTCCTCCTCCTCCTCTCCCCAGCTCTCAGCGGCTGTATCAGACTCAGGGACTCCAGCTGATTCAGACTCTGTTGACGTATCCTCTGAGAGTAAAGGTGCAGAATCTGGAGACTCGACAAGTTGCTGTCGTTCCTTTAAGACAACTTTCTTCTTTTTACCCTTTCCAGCTGATTTTACTTGTGCGACAGGAGCGACACGCTGAGCTGTGGCTTGTTTGTCTGGTTTGCATGTGACAGCTTTGATGGACTCGCCTTCACTTACGGTTTCTGAAGGAGACGGTTCTCTGTCAATCGACGTGACCTCTGCAACTCGTATATCTTCCTCAACGTGAGAACTGGGTTCCTCCGACTCGTGTAAACTCTGTCGACTTGTCTCAACTTCTTTATCAGTAATTGCAGAGATCTCAGCTTTAATTAATGAATCACCAGCTGAAGGTTGGACGACATCAGCATCAATATGTCTGTCCATCGTCTGCTCCTTCGTCAAATCTGAGCTTTCTAAATTTGGTCTTGTTGTTTTCTCAGGATCATGCTCAGCTTTGTCGGACACATTTGGACTCTTGGACTTCTTGTTCTTCTTGCTTCGTTTGCTTTTCTGAATTTCTTTAGGCTTCACTGACGATGATGCCTCCACGTCTTCCTTTCCAGAACTGATCGTTCCTCTCTCTTGCGGCGGAGCCTCCAACACGTCCATGCCCTCGTTAACGGAAGGTTTCTCCGGAGTCATATCTCCTTTGACCTTTACCACTTCCACTTCTCTGACACTCGTCTCCTTCTTCTTTTCTTTTAACGAACCATTCAGTCCCTTGACATCTCTGACATCATGACTCTCCACTCCATCGTTAGCTGGCAGAGGTTTTGCCTTTACATCTCTTGCAGTCGTGCCTTGAATCTCCTTCTTCTCCACCTCTTTCCTCAGGGCCTGCAGCTCCTCCGCAGCCTGTTTCTCACTCACTCCTTTTTCAAACACCTTTTTCAGGATGCTCTCTTTGGCCTTCAGAATCAAAGCGGCTTTCTGGTTTTCTGGTAAAGCAGATTTCGGAGGCAGTTCTTGCTCCTTCCTGCTCTCTCGTCTTGGTTCCTGAGAGACAGAAGCCTTGACTCCAACTTCTCTCTCCTGCTCTCTTTTTATCTTCTCTCTCTCATCACACTTTTCTACATCCCTAGAGAACATCATTTCCTCTTCACCCTCTTCTGGCTCAATAATTTGCTCTGTGAATCGCAGAGTGGCTGGAACAGTTTCTTGTCTCTGTTCCAGCAAATTATTTTCATATTCAATTTTCAAATCCGTCTTTGATTCACGCTCTCCAATGGGAGGCTCTGGGGAAGCTACTCGACCATGAATTTGCATTTTCTCACTTTTGTCTTGCGATGGAAAGTTATCAGTGACTGCATCTGCAGCCTCAGGCCGCCCTTCAATTTCTGCGTCTGCTCGGTCGATTTCAGATCGCAGTTTTATCTCTGCAGGTTGTATTTCACTTTCTGCTTCTTTAACCTTTCCCTTGTTTTTACTCCTCCTCTTTTTCTTGCCTTTGCTTTCTGTATCTTTGGCTGCAGAGGTCACTATCAGGCCTGATGCCTCAGATTTTAATTGGATCTTTAAAGGTTTCTCTCCTTCCACAACTTTACCATCCAGCCCATCATCCCTCTGTTCTGTCACATCACTCTTTCTGTATTCCTCCTCAGTCATTTTAGACAAGTCAGTGTTGTCTTTGCTTTCTTTCTCATCTCTAATCTCTGCTGCCACAGGACCTGTCTGAAGAACACGATGAACCACGGATGTCTCATCACAGGGTCGACACTCTTTTTCCTCAACAAACACAGGTTCCCTCTCTGACTTCAAAATGGCAGCTCCTTTTCTCACCTCTTCCTGGGAATCTTTGTCAGTATCATAGACACTTACCTCTCCCTCACGTATCTGCACTTTCTCATCTGGCTCCTGTATGGGACGGCTCTCTATTCTGTCTTTCTGTGGCGCTATCTCTCCGATGGCTTGCTGAATCCTTCTCTCAACATTAGCTGCAAAATGACTCAAGAGGTCCATAGACTGGTCAGACTCGATTAAAGATTCTCCTGTTGACGACACCTCTACTCTGTCCTCTTCCATTTCGTAATACGGTGACTTATCTGATACAAAATACTTTTCATCATCCTGTGCAACTCCTGAACCTTCCTCTGAGTTTCCATCTGACCAGTTTGCTGGACTGCTCGACACTGACATTACAATAGCAGGGCTGTATGTGCTACTTAATGAGGCAACAGGTGTAGAACTATCTTCATCACCCTCAATCTTTGCAGAAGCCACTTTGTCCTGAATCTCAGCAGCCATGTGACTGGATATCAGTCCAACTGCAACAGCATCACTGAGACTAGAAACCCGTTTCCTAGTGGAGGGATCGACCAAGCCTCCTTCAAACATTTGGTTGGAGGCTATTACTTTGACCATATCATCTCCGACTAAACCTCTTTGACTGGCTTCAGATAGAGGGAGTCTTTCTCCAGTCTTTATATCAATTATCCCTCCACTGTCTGCCTGGCTTTGGAGAAGCCTCAACGCCGGAACTGGGTCAACTTGCTTTGACCGAATTGCCTCAGAAAGGGTCAAACTGTCTCCGGTTTTGCTCATTCTGAAAACCTCTAAGAAACGTTTGCCTGTTTCAATATCGATCTTTCCCTGGTTAACAAGATCTGAATAAGGCACAATGCGAGCAGTGTGAGGGTCCAGAGCTCCTTGTATCACCGTGGGAGAAGCCATGGCTTCACTAGCTATGCTCTCATCCAGGAGACCTTTAGAAACAGCCTCTGTCAATGTCAGTTTACGTCCAGATTCAGGGTCTAAAACTGCTCCAGTCGATGCCTGGAGTACAACAGCATCTGGCTGAGATGAGGGGCTAACTTTTCCCTGGTAGACCCACTCCAGCTCCTCCAGACCAGGAGCAATAGATCGATCCACTAATCCTCTATCAACAGCATCGCACACAGAAAGCCTCATTCCTGAAGCATGGTGGATTATACCACCCTCAGCCACCTGCCTTGCCAACACATGATAAGCCTCATCTGACTTAATCAACCCTTTTTGAATTGCTTGCTCCAGAGGAACTGCAGACTTAGACTCTGGGTCGATAACACCTTCCATCTGTAGCTGTAAACTGGCTTTTTTGAGGGCGGTTGTTAAATCCGTATCTTTTCCTTTGTACGCCTTCTCTAGTGCCACCAGTTCTTCTCTCTGGCCCTCCTCAATCAAACCCAGGTTTGCTGCAAGAGTGACAGAGACTTTCTTATCCCGGCGTAGGTCTACAATTCCCCCAGAAGCCACCTGGGCTTCTAGAAGTCTAGCCGCAGTGTTGGGGTCAATCAACCCTTCCAGAGCTGCCTCCCTGACTCCACAGATCTGCCCTTTCTCTGAGTCCACAATCCCTGCAAGGGTTTTATCTGACTGTAGGACACTCCACATCAGATCTTCATCTAGCAAACCCTCCTGCATGACATCCTCTATGCTAAGTGACTCACCGCTGTTGGCATCTAGGAAACCCCCAAACAGACCTGCCTGAGCCATTAATTTAACTGCAGTATGGCCGGGGAGGACACCCTGAGCTACTGCCTCATCAGGAAGCAGCTTTTCCCCTTCTTCTGTCATCAGACCACCATGTTTTAGCTCCAGGACTAACCTTGACAACTCAGCATTTTCTACCTCCATCTCCCCTGCAGCCTCAAGAATATCAACCTCGGGTTCAGCGATCTTGCGGTCTGTCTCTTTCACAGGTACCTGTTGTTTGATCATTTCAGATTCAGCCTGGGAAGGTTTTATATCTTTCCTATCACCAGATTGTTTTAAATGAACATCTCCACTTGTTTTTGCTTCCAGTGGGATGGGTTCTTCCAGACAAATACTATCTCTAGGTTTGGATTTAATTTCCACCAGCTCTTCTGGGCTTTTAGCCACAGCCATTAAACTTTGAACGTTGGCCTTTTCTTTCTTCTTAGCTGTGACCTTTGCATCTTTATCGACCTTGATTCCACCTTTTGTTGTAAAATCACTGTCTACAATTAATGATGGTTTCTTCAACAATTCTCCATCATACCTTTCTTCTAAACCACTTGCACCATAGATCTCCAAATCCTTGCTTGGTGTAACTACATTTTCTTCCTCAACTTTAATTTGTTTCCCCCTCACTTCTTCACTCACTTCCACTCTCACCATTTGCATCTTCCCCTGCTTATCTGGAGTCTCAGCTTGATTTACAGAGTCTCCAGGAACCAGTTGAGCAGCTTCGACCAACTCCACCAGCTCAGGGTCCAGCTGCACCAGTCGTTTTCCAGAATGAGCATCCACAAAGCTGTGAGTCATGAGGTGAAATAGCAGCTTGTGTTTTGCTTGTTCTTTAGGATCCGTTCCTTTTGCTGGCGTAGCATCACACAACTGATCTGCAGGAGATGATATAGGAGCGGGAGAAGATGGAGGTGAAGAGGAACTGGTGGAACCCCAGCTCAAGCGGTTTAAAGGTGGTGTGCCAGACTTATTCATGTTGACAAGAACATCTGGGATGTGGGTGTCTTTGAGAAAATTGACAACACTGGGCTCAAGGGACGAAGCCAGATGGTTTAAGGGCTGCACCTGGAGAGTTTCAGGGTTGTACAGACCCCCAATGGCATGACGCTGTGCTAGGATATTTCTTGCTAGTTCTCCTGAGATCACTCCTTCTTGAAGAGCCTCAGCAATGGGCAGAAGTTCTCCAGATTCAGGCCACAGCAGTCCCACGAAAGCCCAAAGAGACTCGAGGACCAACAGAGCCAAACGAGAGGAGAGAAGGTCTCTGTGAATACCTTCTCCCAAATCCAGGCGCTCTCTGCTGAGAGGGTCTATAATTCCCCCATTTTGCATCTGACGTGCTAACATTGCACAAGCTAGATCCTGATCCATCAGCCCGAGACGAACAGCCTCATTAATTGTCAGATGGTGGCCAGAGCGCGGGTCAGCTATACCACCGGCAAAGAGCTGAGCTTCAAGCAGCCGAACCGTAACTTTGTGATCAATTAGACCTTCCTGGACTGCGCGGAAGATGCCGACTCTTCTCCCAGAGCGGAGGCAGACCGTCCCTCCAGGTTGTTGTTTGATAGGGAGGAGAAGGAGGCCAGAGTCATCGTCGAAGACACAGCGCTGTTGTAGCTCATACAGGTTTATTTTTTCAGCTGTGTTTGGATCGATCAGCTCTCGGTGTTGAAGTCTTGACTGAAGTTTGGTGACAGTTCTGGGAGTCAAAAGTCTCATGTCTTCTGCTTTCTCCAAACTAATCAGTTTTCCTGTTGAGACTCTCAGGCCTCCGGTGCTCATCTGGAGTTCCAGAATGCGGAGTCCCACCTCCTCTTTGAAGAGCCCCGCCTCCATGGCCGTAGCCACTGGCAGCACAGGTGTTTGTTGGTCAGATTCAGTAGTTCCCACCAAAATCAAGGCATTCTCCAGCTCAGACAGTGACTCCTTGGTGCGGGCGTCGATGAGGCCTTGAGCTAGACCTTGCTCCAGTGTAAGACTAAGTGGAGAGTCAGGCTGGACGAGCCCACCCAGGATGAGCTGGGCCTCCAGGAGTACACGGCAGGTGTCCTGGTCAATAAGACCGCGCTGAGATGCTTGGAACACCGGGAATGTTTCCACCGTTCCCAGGTCGATTACTCCAGCGATGGCAACTTGGTTCTACATTAAGAAGGAAAACAAAAGTCTTATTGAGATTCACTCGTTATGTGGTCTGGCTCTATATGTATTATGTTATCCTACAATAACACTATTGTACTACTGGCAGGTTTAGATGACAGAATCAGAAAAAAGAAGAAAAATTCATGATACAATATTGAGGATTTAATTATTTCTTTCCAATATTTTCTCTTCTTCGAGTTCTTCCATACTTACCAGTGCTATTTTAAAACAAGCTATAAGCATGCAACAAAGCAACCAGGGATAGAAAATGCACAAGGAAGCTCTAAAGGTAAGCAAACACGTAAAAGGAAACAGAGGTATTCAGAAGAGGATAAACTAAATCATTTTGCAGGCAACAGTAAGAGAGAATGCGAGCACTACTCACCGTACAGGCTCTGTCCACGGCACACACACTAAAGGGCCAGCTTATGGCTCGGCAGAGCGAGGCGCGACAGGTGAGAAGCTGGTTGTTAGCATTCTGCATGCCACTCTTCATTCTGACTCCTAACACTGCCCTGACACTACATCCTCCCTCTGACCTCTGACTGTGAACTGGATTCTTGGGTCTGAGACCTTTAGATGTTGAAGTCATCCTTCAGCTACGCAACTATTGTGATGAATTACAGGTTATAATATCAAAATACGAGTGTATCATTGGCAAGGTATTGTGATAGTATTGAATAGTGATTGATTCCCACTAACTGACCGAACACTGAACTGATCTCTTTCATTAGTGCGTCTACAAATGTCCTGTTTTTTTGTTTTCCATCTCTCGTTCTGATTCCTCGGCTCAGAACTCGGATGTCCACAATTCTCCTTTGGCAGCTGTTAGTGGTTTTTGAGCAAAACGCTGGTTTAAAATTTCACACATTAATAGAATGCATTAGAACAAACACAAACAATATCATTCACACACACTCTCTTGTGATTCTGGACACAACATGCTCAAATGGTGAAGTGAGTTGTTTTGCATAGCTGGCCTCTGGTGCACTGGTACTGAGACTGTATAAAAACATCTATGCTTCAGGGAGAACTTATCATAGTCACGTATAAATTCCAAACAACATTCACATAGGAACCAATTATCAGGTGCAGCTGTTGAAACATAAGAATTATTATCAATGTTTGCTCTTCAAAGTTTTTCAGGTTGTCCCATACGAGGCCGGCTAACGCTTCAAAAAAAAAAAAAAAAGTTAAACTCTCAGACACTCGACTCATTTTTGACAAATGTACCATGATTCTACATGAGAACATGAGAAGTGACTGTGTGCGAATGTGCGACTGCACGTGTACATATGAGGTCAACTCAATGCACAGTAAAATAAATGCTGGAATGCAAAATGTCGACTTTATGCAGTGGCATTATTTTACCATCACATAAAAGAGAAAATGCGTTTCTGTTGTTGCAGCGACAGAGATGACAGTCGAATGAAGTTGCAGCTATTTTATAAATGACTGGTTCTAACAATGAATCTACGACCTGACTGCTCGCAGGACTCGGGCAGTGCTGCTGCTGCTGTGCGGCACCACTGAGGCCGTGTTTTAACCGTGTTAGCAGTTCAGCAGATGTATTTTCTGATGATAATGGCAATGAGGGTGATGATAGTTAATGACATGACTGCAGTGAGAACAGTGAGAGTGGAACATGCTGAGGCCCAGTTCAGACAGTGACATTCAGTGGATAATATAATATATCAAAGTGTGTCGAACTATGATTTTCTTCTTTCTCTCTCGATGAAGAAGAGGTCAAATTTGCAGATCATCAGTAAACACACGTCTGAACGGGGTCTGTGATGTTTGCCGAGCCGATGGGTGAGATTCATCAATAGTGGTGATGTTTGTCAAAAATGCAAACTCCGTGAACACACAACATGCCGTATAACACACACATTAGCTGCACACGCGAACTCACACTTAGCTTGCAAGCGTATTCACTCAAAACAACCTTTCATAAAAAAGCACCTTTAAAATGAGACTTTGTGAAGCTTGGCTGAAAATATTTGTTTTCATAAATATGCAAAAGCCCGTGTCCACCTCAGTCCATCCCTCCAACTATATACCTTTCTCTCCTCCTCTTTGGCAAGTTGTTGCTCCAGCTGCTGCAGCTGTTGGGTGGAGCTGTCGCACATCTGGTTGTAGGTGGACGTGAGCTGGTCCAGCTGAGCCTCCACGTGAGCGCGCTCCTCTGGGGACAACCTGGAGAGGACACAGGGGAGGGGGAAATGGCCGGGTTCTGATAAATAAACCTCTGAAATGTTTGTATTTATTAATCTTTTTCTATTTAAAACAGCCACTTCAGCTTGTACTGCTTTGTGTCGAGTGATAGATGTGTGTTTCTAGAACACGGGTAAAGTCGTGTGTCCAAACGTGTGAACTGAACTTACTTGCTGGCTTGTTTTGATAACAGGAAGACCTCAGTGTTCCTGATGGCTTCAGACACTTCGTCCTTCTTGGCTGCTAGCTGTTCACTGATGGCCTTCAGAGAGCACAGATGAACAAAACGCTTTTCAGCACCAACGTCTCTTTTCACATTCTTGCAATGGTGCATTTAAAATGTTTGCTCTGAGCTCCAGGGGCTAAAGTGTATTAAATTTCTGTTCAACCTGTTGAGCTGCGAGTGAAGACTCAGCGTTGGGGCCGCCCGTCCGTCCCTGGAGACCTTTGACCCAGCCCAGCAGATCCGACACCTGGCCGACCCTGGCCTGCTTCTCCTCCTCCACCTCTTTCTGCACAGATTCAATGGTAGACACATCTTCAACAACACTAATCAACACAATACAACATCACTGATCAATTACAATTACCGATGAATAAGAATTTCTTTAATCTGACCAATTTAAAATGAAACAGGTTTTAATAGTGAATCAAAGTCCCACCTCTTCTTCTTCTAGTCTTCTCAGTGCATCACTGATGTACTTCACATGTTGGGTTGTCAAGGTGACCAAGGCCGTGTAGCGTGTGCGTAGATCCATGAACTGGAAAGATAAGACAAAGGTTTAAATAACTTCCAACACGGAAATAACACTCAGACCAAATCAAAAGACACAAATGGATATTGGTCAAATCATTGAAGTGTGATTTTTATCTTTACCTCCTGAGTGATGGCGTCAGAAGAAGAATGCATCCTCCGCCTCTTTACAGGCGACTTGTGCGTCGACTCTACAAAGGCTCTGTATGTCATCAGCTGCAGTTCATAGTCCTGCACGAAGCAGCCATGGTGGAACATAAGTGAGTAAAAGTCTGGCTGTGCAATCAGAAAACTACAGAGAGGACATTTCTACATTGTTTCCAAAAACTTCAAATGCAATCACACGTTCATTTTTACTCAACAAACACTATTTGGACTATTTCACATATTTGAAATAGAGAAGTTTCTGTGTCAGTCTCTCACCTTCACTGAGGTGCAGTACTGTTTGGAGTGAGTCTGACACTCATCTAGTTTGGTCTGGTTCTGTTCAATCTCAGCTACTAATGCCTGAAAACAAAAACATACCAAAAACATTATCAACCAGATGTGATGTGTGGGTTCCGTTTGGTTTATCTATCATAGAAACGACATTTCTTCGAGTCACTCACCGTCTGCTGGGCCAGCTGCTCGGACAGAGCTTTGCTGTCAGTCTGTCCAGGTTGTGTGTTTTCTTGTCTCTCCGTCGTCTCTTCGATCCACCGGATCAGAGCTGAGTGACCGTCTCTGTACTGATGCAGAGCCGAGCCCAGAGCGTCCAGATCAGCTCGTCTGCAGGGAAACAGGAAATGACTTTTAGAACTTTTAAAGAACACAGGATTTGTGCATGAAATAATGCCAAAACCTCACTACCTTAAATTTCTCAAACTATTTATTACTCCATGTTATTCTCATCTCCACCCTGTGCTGCTCACCGTGTCTCCATCTGTCTCTTAACTCCGCTCCACCTCTCCGTCATCTGATTGGCTCTCTCCTGGTAGAGCTCCAGCTCAGGGCTGCGGTCAGGGTGGAGCTTGCTGAGCTGAGACCCGGCGTCTTTGGCCCGAAGCACAACTGACTGCAGAGAGAGGAAGATGTCCCCCTGCTCGGCCAGTTCATCCTGCCACTTCTGGGAGGAAACAAAACAAAGAATGAAGATCAAAGTCCAAACGTTTCACGACACAACGCCTGTTCTTCGGACGGTCATAGAAAGATTTTCAGTCCTCTACCTCCAGCTGATCTCTGAGGTTTTGAATGGCCATGGTGTCCGCAGGAACTATGTCTTCTTCACTTAGTCGACTCTCGTACTTCCTGACTTGGCTCTCCGCTTCGTCCAGGCTGCGAATCAGGATGTCCACGGTCTTTAGCCTGCGCAGGTAAAACAAACAAACAAACCAAATGAGATATCAACACACTCTTTATTCATATCTCCTGAGTTGAGCGATGAAACAGAAGCGTCCTCTTACTTTTCCAGGTAGACACACGAGAGGTTGTGCAGTTTGTCTGTCTTTTCCACAGCCTGGTTGAGTTCAGACCGAAGGACAGGAACGCTGGAGGACGTCGGCTTCTCCTCAAAGAATCGGACACAGCGACGGGACACGTCACCCAAACCGGAGCGCAGGGTGTCGAGCTCCGACTGCAGCTTCTGGAGACAATTTAAGAAATGAAAGACATTTGTGATCAACACTTGCGTTGCTTATAAAGGGGGTTGATGCCCGACGGGTCTCAAACTGACCTCTTGCTCTGCGATCTGCACAGTGTTGTCGGCAGTGTCTCCAGACCGCCTGCTGGGGGGCGGAGTCTGAATGCCCCTCATCAGCCTCTGCTCGGCCTCATTTAGACGCAGGGTGATGTTCTGCAGCTCGGACAGATACGACCGAGAGACAGTCTCGTCCTTCTCAACTGGAGGGAGACACGGGAGAAGAAAGTGTTATCTAAGCATTTACTGGTTCTATATATTTAATTAAGTGTGATCACAACTACTTGTAACAGAAGAAGAGATAATTCACGATGATCTCAAAAAGTTTGGGGGTGAAAATCAATGTCTCACCCGTCTCCATGTTGTGCAGCAGGTCCTGACAGTGCTGCTGGGCCTGCTGAACGTCCTTCTCCAGCTCTCGTCGTTCGGCCGGCGTGAACAGAGAGCTCTCTTTGCTGTCGGACAGGAAGTCGGTCAACTGGGACTCCAGGTGGTCGAGGACCTGCTGCCGCTCTGACGGAGACTGACATCGAACCTGAGGGGTGAGACAGGGGAGGAGAAGATGAGTACGACAGAGCGGCAAAGAACTCAGAGACACATGAACACAATCGCACTCTTCTCACCGTGTCCAGGTTCCATGTGGAGACGGTCCGGATGTCTTTGAGAAGGTAGTGCCAGGACACCACACTCTTCATGTTCACGTGGAGCTGATGCCACAGAGACATGACCTTCTGATACAGCTGCTCCGTCCTGAACACACGTAAAGAACACGAGTGTGATTAAAATCAAATCCACCAGATTATTAGAAGACAATCCTGAAAATATTAGATTCTTTAAAACTAATACAGATGCTACTTTAAAATCATTTCTCATATCTGCAACCAACTGTTCTGAAAATGTGTTGACTCTTATTTGAGATCCTCTAAAGTTCAGGATAAACTCACGGTCACTTTTTAAATATAATAACTTTTTGTTTCCGTCTTGTTGTAATTGTTAAAAGCGGTTTTATATATAAAATGAATTATTACTGTGATTATTATTATTATTGATATTTATAAAATCATTACTTTTACCATCTTTGCTTCACAACATTAATCTGGAGGTTTTTTTTCAGTCTGACCTGCTGGCTGTGTCCATGGCCTCCTGGTTCGGAGGCGGGACGGTGAAACACACTGAAGGGACCATGGCCTCGTTCCCTGTGGGACTGATCACCTTCCACTTGGTCCTCTGAGAGTTGTCCTCCAGCACGCACTCCTCTCCTCGACTTATTGTGATCTGAGAGGAGGTGGACGAGCAGCACGGAGGCAAAGACGGGAGGAAAACGGAAAAAGAAAAAAACAGGGAATGGAGGTTATGAAAAGACAGATGTGGGGAGTGAGCGAAGAGGAGGATGAAGTAAAATCAGGAGAAGGAACATGAATAAAAATGATGACGAGGTCAGATGGAGGAAGAGGAAGAAAGCGAGGGAGGTGAAACCAGGAAGGAGAGAAGGGAAAACATGTAAACCAAAAGCTGATCGCAAACAAACTCATAATGCAACACAAAAATGCAAACATTCATGATTTCATGACGTTAGCAGAAGCCCTAAAATGATATGACGTTAGAGAAGCTGCCGAGAGCAAAGTGTGGACTTTAAGAAGCTGCTATAAACTCGTTCTCGGAGCCGAGGTCGAGTGAAGCCTGGATTTCTCGAGGTGATTTTAAGAAACCCAGCGCGCGACACAAACACAGAGTTTGGGATTAAAATCTGTCAGTTCTCAAAATAAATAAAAAGGCAAAGCTGTGACTGTGAGAAAGAGTTTCAGGACATTAAAAGCTGCACTGTCTCCCCCCCCCCCACTCACCTATCCACCCACCACCCTCTCTCACCCCTTCCCTGCACACACACACACATATCAAGTACATCAGTAATGCAAAGCTGTGCACGTACACAGTAAGTCCATGAAATGTTAATTAAAGCTTATTATTGTCTTGCTGACTGAATGAGCCTCAGGGACCTGAGCTGTGTTATATTCAGTTCAGCTCGGTGGTTGCTACCCGCTCTTATCGACCGATCTCAGTCCACGACGCCATGAGAAGTTCGTATCGTTCTCTGGGCGACTCAATAAAACTTTACAGACGGAGAAGTGAGAGGTGAAAACCAGGAATGACAATAATCAAATACTTAAGATTTAGTTTTCACAGTGTTATTCATATTCAATTTCTCAGGCCAAGAGTGTGTGTTAGTGTTTTAAAGTATGTGAGTGAGTGAGTGACGTCATCGTCCAGTTTTTCTGACACACAATTTCCTCCTAACTTTTTTTTTTCCTTCCCTTAAATGATTCCCACCCACTGTCCTGTCAGATTTATTCTGAGACGCTCGGCAGAGGCAGGTGTCAGACTGACAGCGAGCAGAGATTGAGACCTAACACCAGCCGATAAGAGAGGAGCAACCACAGCGTAGTGTGTGCAGTGTAAGAGTCTGAGGTGAGAGAGGGAGAGTATAGGCAGCTATACCTGAACGTTAGTCTTGCCAGCCCAGCCGACAGACGAGAGGAAGGGAAGAGGATGAGGAAGAGGACGGAGTGAGAGGTTCACGAGGGTATGGAGAGAAAGGAGAACACACAGGAAAGTGAAGGAGAGAAAGATTATTTTTTTCGGTCATGTGCAGCTCTTCTTTCTGTCAGATCAGTGATGCAGCAGAGAAACAAACCACCGTCCTCCTTCACCTGGACACCTCACATACTGGCCACGCTTCGATGAGCAAATTGACCCTGCGGAGACACGGCGGACTAAAAATAGCAGCAGCTGCGAGTCCGTGCCGAGCTTCAGCCCGCAGAGGGGAAGGGACAGATGTTTAATTGATCAGCTTTTAGATTCCCTGAGGACATCACAGCTGAGTGAGAGACAGACAGAGACTTCACCTGTTTGTGTGTCGTCTTTTCATTAGAATAAAGTCAAAACCCTTGGAGACGTTAATTCCTCCTCTGTTGTCTAAACATCAATAAGGACCATTCAGACTGAGAGAGGACGTCGTGTCCACGTTTTCTTCAGTCTGAGACAGAACATTTAAAATAGAGGAGCCACTCAGTGGTTGTGGGAGGGACTTGGACAGGAGGTGCAGGGCAGAGAGGAGGCTGTTGGTGGTGAGGGGTTAAAAACTAGAGTGGTGAGGTCGGTGGTGGGCGGGAGCTGAATATACGTCCACATGCTTTGTCCTGGTCGTCTCAGAGGTTCCTCATCAACACTGAGCTCATTTTGGCTCAAACAGATTCACAAGAGTTCAGTATCAGAGATGTAAAGTCACGAGAGGTGAAGGACGACACGCACGTCCTCACGCAGCACACAACTTCTCGTACCTCTATTTGTCTGTAGTCGCAGATGGCTCTGATGGGCGTGGTGGCGGCCAGGTTGCTCTCTGCGCTGCGGGGGCGGAGCTGCACCAACGTCTTGGCCCGGCCCACCAGACTCGCCACTGTGCTCCGGTACTCGATCAGCTGCTCCTTCTCCTCCTGCAGGGAGGAGGAAATCATACGATATTTAAACTGTTATTCTTTGAATGTTTTTGACATTTTAATTAATCAAACTAAAAAAAAGATTTTTCTCCTGTACTGCTGACTTAATAAAGACAAATTGAAATACTGGTCCTGTGTGAGAGGAAGCATTAGAGCGTTTTAATTTCACGGCCATCCATCCAAAAGCTGTTGACACCTTGCACCTAAAATCTGATGTTGGCATTAGGAGAAAAGTGGAGGGATCTCAAGAGTCATGATCCAATTTATCTTCTGCTATAGTCCTCCAGTCTTTATAAAGAGGTCCGATCAGATTTTAGTACGAGTAAAGAGAGATGAGATGAGAGGGCTGTGCGGCGCTCTTCACTCTGACTGTTAGAAAGACATTTCTGATCTGTGTTGCCCCCATCAGAGAGAGTGATTAAAGATTTATTATAGAGCGAGAGGAACAGGGAAGAGAGAGGGAGAGAGGGAGAGATGGGAGGGGGGGGGCAACAGACAGAGATAGAGATAGAAGCTAAGCGACGTTACACCCCAGATATGAATTTCACACTGAGAGGACAGCGACTCTGCTGCACCATCAACAGCTCAGCTACAAATATAGTTATAAACAGTTATGAATCATGATGTGAAGATAAGAAGAGAGAGAGTGAATCAACGAAACCAACAAATAACAAAATAACAATCGTAAATTAATTATATCAATTAGTTCATTAATCATTTTATCTTTCAACACCAGAGTCAAAAGGTGAATCTGTCTTGATCTGTTTTCTCTGGACAGTGCCAACAAATCTGACGGCACTTAGAACTGTGAAGAGACCAGCTGTTAGTGACAGAGTGTGTGTGTGTGTGTGTGTGTGTGTGTGTGTGTGTGTG